AATATAATATACAGTAAAGGCTGCATGGACCTCTGCAAAGCTGATCTGATTTATCTTTTGCATCATCTCTTATGTTTAGGTTATCGCAGCTACAAATATTGCAGAGACCAGTATAACAATTGATGATGTGGTGTATGTGATTGACAGTGGCAAACACAAGGAAAATCGCTACAATCCACAGAAGGTATTCAGAATTCTAATGAATTCAGTTGCATTTTCCTTGTACGACGATGCTTGTAGACCAATATCCCATTTTTATGTTTGTTTCTTTCCCCCTTTGAACTCCATAACTGTTTCTGAATATGAATTGAACATTATGCACATTTTATAGTTAGTTGCTTATTACCCCTTCACTATGAACCTGTTTATTAAGAAGATTGGTGTCCGTCATTTTGATATATCTATTAACCTGTATCTTGAAATTTCTTTTCAGTTCTCCCTATTGAAACCGAAAGCTACCTGGATATATATAAGCTCTTTTTGATTACATTGTTGTATATCTCTGCGTGATTGCCTCATGATCATTGTGTTTTGTCTCTGAGATGCCAGTTTGATTTTCAATTATTTTATCATCTTAGAAATTGTCGAGCATGGTGGAAGATTGGATATCTCAAGCAAATGCAAGACAAAGAACAGGAAGGGCTGGACGTGTCAAACCTGGGATTTGCTTTTCATTGTACACACGCTATAGGTTCGAGAAGCTAATGCGTCCCTATCAGGTGTTTTCAATAGGTCCTTTCCTGCTCACTTGTTCACTTGGTTTTAGCCATTTAACTCATCGATTCCACACTTATTTTAAGGTTCCTGAGATGCTGCGGATGCCATTAGTAGAGTTATGTCTACAAATCAAATTGCTTGGCTTGGGTCACATTAAACCTTTTCTGTCCAAGGCAAGTGACACCATCTTTAGTGAAAAAACAAATAACACCATCATCCATCTGATTCTGATTTACACTCACTGTCTTTAGGCTTTGGAACCTCCGAGTGAAGGTGCTATGACCTCTGCGATTTCATTGTTACACGAGGTAATATGTAATGGATATAAGTCTTTTCTTTCTGTAGAACTCTAAGTTCCTGGGATCAGTCATATTTGATACATCCAACCTGTCATTTGGACATATAGTTGATGTGTTTGAGGCTGTCCTGCAGTGTGGCTGATTTATCTTCTTTACATTGTAGCCTTCGGGTATACTTTATGCTTTCTGAACCCCTCATTTTAGTTCCGATTGATGGAATATCAACTTAGTAAAGAGAGTTTTGCATACCTTTCAGAGTTTTTTGTTCTGAGCTCTCTCTTATGAACCCCGTCTTCTTTAGGTTGGTGCTGTTGAAGGGGATGAAGAGTTGACACCACTTGGGCATCATTTAGCGAAACTTCCTGTTGATGTGTTAATTGGAAAGGTTTGCTTTAGTAACATTACTGTTACACTAAAATTTCCGAGTTGGAGGCCTTGGTCACTGACTCTCATATATATGTTTTATTCCTCTCCTCACTACATTTTGCCTAGGTTTCAACATGGTTGTTGATGTTGGTAAACAGAGAGTGCATCGTATAATTCTTTCCACCATCATGATTACATGTTTGATAATTTGCAGATGCTGTTATATGGTGGAATATTTGGTTGCTTATCACCTATTCTCTCGATCGCTGCTTTCTTGAGCTACAAATCGCCGTTTATATACCCCAAAGATGAGGTACATTTTGACTTTCCCAGAACTTGGCTGATTTGCACAAGGAGGTTGTTAAGTAACTCTATGTTCTTAGAAGCAAAATGTCGACCGGGTGAAACTTGCTCTTTTGTCTGACAATCTGGGGAGCTCGAGCGATTTAAACAACAATGACAGACAATCTGATCACCTCCTTATGATGGTTGCATACGATAAATGGGTGAAGATACTGCAGGAGGTATGTGATAAAAGGGATAATAAATGAGCTGTTTATTGAACAACTGAATCAAGCATGGATGGATTGAAATCCCTTGATACTGGGTTTATGTCCGATTTATTTTAGCACAGCGTTTATCGGCATAATGACATGCTCTATGTGTTTGTGATGTCTTCAGCGAGGAATGAACGCTGCACAGAGGTTCTGTGAATCAAAGTTCTTGAGCAGCTCAGTGATGCGGATGATCAGGTACATTTAACTTGTCTACAACAGATCTCCATACATTTAACTTTATCTAAACATGATTTAATATGCTTTAGCCTTGCAAGCTTGACTAAGGATATTCAAGTGTGGGAAAACTGTATAAGTGGCTCAACGGAAAATAACAGTCATTTGTTTGATTTTTTTGTTATAACTTAACCTACGTCTTAGTGGGAACTTTTTCATTTTATGCACGAGTCCCTGAAATTTTTTTCTAAACTGAACGAATGCTTACACTATTTCTGTCTTCATCCTTCAAATCTTATTATTGTTTTGTCACAATTATCAGAGATATGAGGGTACAATTTGGCACATTACTTGCCGATATCGGGCTCATCAATCTTCCTAAAACAGGAGAGGTAACTTATCTAACCCCATCTGAAACATTTTGCATATGCATAAAGCACGCATGAGTCTGATCTTACCAGAACATAGTAATGATAGTTCTCAAGTTTACGATACAGCTCAATGAGGTCCATCATATTTGTAAGTTTGGGTAGAAAGAAGGCTGTAGGTTTTTTTATGAAATCTGATCAGGAATCTCATTTTGTTATCATAGTTTTCGGGGAGAAAAAAGGAGAATCTTGATGTCTGGTTTTCTGACCCAACTCAACCTTTCAATATGTATTCACAACAACCTGAAGTTGTTAAGGTAAAAGTACATCTGGTGCTCTCGTGTTGCCAACAATCTATACTACAATTGTAAAAGAGGTTCTATGTCATTATCTATTTGGTGGGTAACTGAAATAAGCTGTGAATATGTACAGGCGATATTGTGCGCAGGACTATATCCTAATATTGCAGCCAATGATAAGGGAATTACAGAGACAGCGTTTAACAGTTTGACAAAGCAAGGAAACCAAACAAAGAGCTATTCGGCATGGTACGATGGCAGAAGAGAAGTTCATATCCATCCATCTTCTATAAACAGCAACTTCAAAGCATTTCAATACCCTTTCCTTGTATTCCTTGAAAAGGTAACCTGAGTTTTAATTTTTGAAGCAATTGATTTTACTGTTATTTATCCCTCTGATGTACGTGCCTGAGATGAGAATTTCAGACTTAGCTATCATTTGATGATATTGGACAAAAATGGTAGTTTGTTGTTAACTTGTTATTCAATTTGATGTTACTAGGCAGATTCTGGTGTTAATTGTTTAACCATATAATCATGGGTAAATATTATACATCTTGTAGGTCGAAACGAACAAAGTATATTTGCGAGATACAACCGTTGTATCTCCTTTCTCCATTCTACTTTTTGGCGGTTCAATCAATGTTCATCATCAGGTACAATTAGCCATATCTGTTAGCAAAACAAAAGATGGAATGTTCTGCTTATTTTTGATTTTGTCTGCTCTTTACCTTGACACCGTATCTTTTATTACAGAGTGGATCAGTCACAATTGATGGGTGGTTGAAGGTAGCAGCACCAGCTCAAACTGCGGTTTTGTTCAAAGAGCTCCGGTTAACCCTTCATTCCATTCTCAAAGATCTCATCCGAAAACCCGAGGTTACATGTTCATTCCTTTGTTTGATCCACTTGGTGAAGTAATCCCATGCCTGATCTCTCCCCACTCTTCACTTTTGTTTATTTTTTCAGAAATCAGGTATTGTTCACAACGAAGTCATCAAATCTATGGTCGATCTTCTTATAGAAGAAGGCAAACCGCAACACACATGAACTTAAAAAGGAAATAGTATCACATTGTGGGGAAAATTGTGTGTAATTCACCAGGATTTGTAGGTGAACATGTATAAGTCACAATGTTGATACTAAGATGACTTCCATAGCCAATATTTTTCAGTTTTAGGTAGGCCAATTGATATTCCCAGAGCTCAATTGTCTATAACAATTTACAAGACAGTAAGAAATATATTACTGCCAAAAATGTTACATGAGAGTGAATTTGATCATAAAGAAAATCGGCAAAGTCAAACATGTTTAAGTCTATGGGTTCATCATCATCTAATTGCTCCATCGTCTAAATTTACTTGTTGAAGTTTTAAAAGGTTCCTCATGATCGCGCGTAGCTGTGCGAACCTTTATCCCTAAGTATATTATTATATTAGATCTAGCAAGAGCATCGTTTAGAATTGAGGTTAACAATTTAACAAAGACTTTCTTCTTTACCTGGTGATTTAAATCTTTAATTTTATGTTGATTTTCGTTTTAATCATGAATTCTCGTTGATAAAGCCAATTGAGGCACATCGTTAACTAGCCAAACAGATCAATTAGAAGATGTCATCGCATAACTGGCATTTCGAAGCGATCACATAATTTTTCTTGTACACCAACAGGGTTTTCATCTTCCTCTTCAAAAACTATGCAAGGACATCTCCGTTTAGCCAGTTAATGATGCCTTAATTAGCTTAGTCAACGAGAATTCATGATTAAGTTGAAAGTCAACATAAAATTGAGGATTTAAATCACTAGATCCACATAAAATTGAGGATTTAAATCACCAGGTCCTCAATTCATGCTTTAAACCAACGAAAATGGTAAACTGATGATTTAAATGACATTTTTCCCGATTTAGATACAACTTTTTTTCTTTCATTCTTTCTTCTTCTACTTCTTCCAATCTCGAAGTATACAACCATGAAGCTTGAAGTAGTGTTAGTACCTATCCTCGAGCATCTTATGATGCCTTGGAATGATCTAAGGAAAGGTGATTGTTGTGAACGTTTTGATGCTATTAATGATGGCTACTACTGCAAAACTTGTGATTCCTTCATCCACAAGACATGTGATGACGATTCCAATATTTCTTTATGTTGTATCACAATTTTCATAGATATCCAAATCGTTTTGAAGACAATTGATGTTTTATTTTAGAAGATACCACTTTTTGATTAGATTATTTTTTGTTCAAAATACAACAACATATACCAGAAATACATTTACCCAGCAATACACTACTTAATCCTGAACAAAACACCTGGCAATATTGCTCTCCCCTTGTACATATATATGGTGTAAAGCATCTTTTTTCCTTTTCCGTTATGCCAAAACCTATTAAACATTAATCGTCAAACATATATGTAAAAAGAGTAAAAGAATATGTCGATAACTAAAAAGTGGAGAGTGATATAATTATAAAGTGGAGAGTACCACGAGTGTCATCGGAGCAGTGAACAGAAGATATGACCAAGAGAACAGTGAGAACAAATGCAACTAACATTTTCTTGGTGGTATTCATTTGTATGATATTTTCTTATCTTTTGTTTACATTTTTATTTCACTTGGGATAATAATTATATAATAACACAAACATACATAAAAGCTAATCTTCTAGTCAATGGTGAAAAGAAAGAATCTTTCAATATATTTCCACTTATTTATAGTCAAAACAACAATAAAGAGAATGATTTCGTTACCTACTATATATAGTTAAATATGGATTTTCTCCCAATATTTTAAATTCTGTTTCCAATTTTTTTTTTTTTTTATGTTTCAAATTTTAATGGTTGTAACTAAAAATTATTGGTAAAGATAACTTGAAATCAACATTGTTGTTGGTGAATTTCCTTTTACGAATAAAGATGGCTTCACCAAATCAAAATCGTCTTAAAAAGCGCTAAACTCTACGGTCCTTTGAAAAAGTTAGTAAATAATTGTATTCAACGACTAATCATGTATAACAGAATTCATGAAGGTCGTTCAACGAAGTCATACTTTGGACACTTTCAATGGGCAGTTAATACTAAGATCATCCTTAACGGCATATCCAAGTGTGTATCCAAAGCCAAAAAATCCAAAAATTTAATCACAAATACCAAAAAACAATAGACTCGTATCCAACAATGGATTTTTTGTAATGTTTTGGACTCGCATAGGTGGCGGTGTTTTATTGGTGGAAAGATATTAGAGAAAACCAAATAAGTGTAAATTTCAAATTTTACATTTTTTTTACAATTATAAATATGGTTTGGACTCCCTAATGGAGTCCCACCAATAATCTTGCTCTAATGTTCTAAAAATCGACTACGATTTTGTCCAACATTTACATTAACAATGTTTAGACACAACGTCCCAACCAATGAGACGTCAAATCACAGCCATGCAAACTGATCACTACATATTAATCACTTCGCCGTGCTTGTAAACATGCGGCATTCAACATTCGACATCCTAAACTCTACCACTAGGTCACATGGCTCAAAATAATTTTGGCTTGGTTCCTTAACAATTCAAAATATTATAGGTACTCCTCTTTCTAAATATTAAAAAAAGAAATTAAATAACAAGATATATATATATATATATATATATAAAGGATATATAATCTATATGTTTCAAAAGAACAAGGGCAATTTCAAAAAATATAGAATTTTGTTAAAGGAGCAACATTATATCATATTATTGTTATTTAAAATTATACAAGAAAATTCTTAACTTAAATAAATGTAGAAATGTAATATCGCAAACAAATATTGATACTTTATATACATAAATTTATAAATTTAATAACTAAAATACTGAAATATTATTGGGAAAATGTCAAAAAATCATCAATAATCGGAAATAACAGTAGTAACACCCCTTGTTTGAAAAATCGCTAGGCGCTAGTCGGGCGTTCGGTATGGGCCTAGCGATTAATTGGAAAATCGGGTTAAAATCAAGGATTAATCGAAGATTAGTTTTAGGCCTATTTTAATATTTCAAAAATATATTAATCTAATATTGTTTTCAAAATTATAGTAAACACATAAAAATATATTTTAAGGCAAATTTTTATGATTTCTTATTAAAAATTATGGCTTTTATTAAAAAATTGAACATAAATTATTGTAAAACATCACAAACTTCCAATTCAAATGTTTAAATAACAAAAAAGAGTTGTTTTATACTTGCAATCAAAAAATAATCGGGATATGTAAGAATAGACGGAAAATAATCGGATTAGGCGAAAATTAATCGGATTAGGCGGAGAATAATCGGCTGACTAATTTTTTTAACGGATTAGTTATTCATCGAGAAAGAGAGGATAGGCCTAGTGATTAAGAGGAGAGTAATCAGGGTAGGCGGGGATTTTTAGAACGGGGTAACACCCTATTCTGATTGGGTTAAATAATGTATTTCTAAAACTATATAGCAAATTTGTAGATAGTTATAATATTTGGGCAAAGTTGAAATGCAATTTAAAATTTTGGCTCCAAACAAAAAGCCCTAAAAAAAAAGAAAGAAACTCGAAAATTGAAAAATGAACAGTTTCTTCTTCCGCTGATCGGGGAAGAGAAGACGAAGAGAAATGGCTCCGAAGAAAAAACCTCAGACGAAGAAACAAAGCAACAATGAAGTTATCTCTTCTTCAATACCAAATTCAGGCCACAAGAAACCATCTAAATCCCCAAAGCTTTTGATTTCGCCGGAAAATGAAGACCGTTTGCGACGGCTCTTACTCAACTTTCGCCGGACTCCTTCTCCGGTCATGGCGTCGCTATCTGTGACTCAGAAGAGAAAGAAACTCAATAGTCTCTACGAGAATCTCTCTTGCGAAGGGTTTTTAGATGATCAGATTGAACTCGCTCTGTCCTCTCTTAGGGTCACTCTCGCATTTGTCCGTACATTTCTCGGTTTTTTTGAGGCGATTCGTAATACAAAGTGTTTGTTTTTGTTTAAGAATGGAGCAACGCTTGAGACTTCACTTGATTGGCTCTGTTTGAACTTGCCGAGTCATGAATTGCCAGTGAACTTTTCTAACGGAGCTTCTCGCGTTCCTACCACAGGTAATGTTGTTGTAACTCTCTCGGTGAAATCTACGCGATTTGTAGCGCACTGATGATGTATATACCTTCCTATTGATGTTTTCAGGACGCTCTGTGGCGGTGATATCGACCTCAAGGAAAGATTGGAATGTGTCTGCTGAATCTGCTGAATCATCAGTCCAGGTTAAGGAGGAGGATCCTGAGCCTGAAGTTTTAGTTAGAGTGAAGAGCAAGCGAGATGAAGAAGAAGATAGTCTTAGTTCTTGTCGATCATCTCAAGCTGATTGGATCCGTCAGTATATGAAAAGACTGGAAGAGGTACTTAATAAAGTATAGAATGCGTTAACCATTTTCCAAAAGCCTAATACTTTTATCTCAAGGCGGAAAATCACAACGGATTTTCTCTTTGAAATAAATTTTTAGGAAGAATTGGAATCTTCGGACGATGAAGGAGATAAGGTAACACAATTCTTTACCAGGGTACCTAGTAGATGCGGTTATATGTTATAGAATGATGGCAAAACTATGAGTATCTTGAAGATTTTGAATTTGGAGCATAATTGGTTGTTGTGCTGAAAAAGGTATCACTCGGGTCGGTTGAATGTGTGAAGCATATTAATTAATGATTAATATGTTTTGGCGTTAGAGACTTTACTTAAGTTTTGGAGATAAAATATTAATTTGCTTGTTTCCCTCTGTAGTGATATATATTTGTTAGGAGACTTGACAATATTGTTACTTATTGTATTAGGTATCTGGTCCAAGGCCTTTCGAAGTGATTGCCAAAGACTATTGTTTAGAAAGATCTAATGCTATAAAAGCAAAGAGAAAGGGTGATAAAAGTGGACAGAGGCAAGCAGGCCTAGCCATTTGCAAGCTCAAGCAAGAGATGAATGCTCTTGGTAAAGTTTATTCCGTTTTAGTAATCAATCTGGCGATTATGACTTGCTGCAGTATGTCATGAGATATCTGTGTTTGTTTTCAGGGCCATCAGAAGCAATATTGGAATCTGAGTTTCAGCGTGATCGTCAAGATTGTGAAGGCGCTAAAGAAAAAGAAGTAACCTTCCCCATGCCTGATGACGTTCATGAGTCAGTAAATGCTGATGCTTTCTTTTTTCAGCTGTTTGATGACTTGACCTTGGATCCAAATACTGTTGGGAGCTGTAAATCTGAGGAAACTCAACCTAAAGCTCTTTCCTTAAGTTCTTCGGGGCAAGAATCAGTTGTCTCGAATGATAGTTTAGATGGCTTGGACCTTGGTGATTTGTTCGTAGAAGATGTTCCGCCTTATGTACCTTCTTCCCATGAAATCCTGGAATTACAGAAGAAGGAAATTATGAGAGAACTATGCAATGAGAAAAATCTTACGAAACTAAAGGGTATCTGAAAGAAGGTAACTCTTCACCCAACAAGATCCTATGCGAAAAAACCGTTTAGCTCATAAAATACTATTGCAAGTAATACGTGTTTGATGCTTTTCATTTGTCACTTTGCCACATATGCTAACATTATGATCAAGCAGTTGAGTTCTAACAATGTTCGATAGACATAGAATTTCTTTCTCTAGTTACATTTTGTAAGTTTGATATTTTTTTTCTCTGGGCTCTTCTCCTCTTGCTTAGTTCTAGTCACTTTGTCACATAGCTTGCTTCTTTTGTTGTATTATATCTTTAACATGTAAAAGTTTTACAGGGTGAAGCGCAAAAGATCCCAAAGGCTTTGCTCCATCAGCTGTGTCAAAGGGCAGGGTGGGTAGCACCAAAGTTCAATAAAGTAACTGGGGAAGGAAGCAACTTCTCATATACCATAAGTGTTATGCGTAAATCTAGTGGATTTGGTAAAAGCAGACAAGCTGGGGGTCTGGTAACTATTCAACTTCCTCATCAAGTTGAGGATTTTGAATCCATCCAGGTACTCGCTTGATCTGTATTTTAACACTAGATAATCTATTATAAGATGCTAAACGAGTGTTTAGTTAGGCTCTTGTGAGTAAATGTTATTAGGGATAATATCTTCTGTCAAGAAAGTTAAAGTTTATTAATTCCTTGATGGTTCTGAGGAAAATATTGTAGGAAACCTAGAAAGAAAGGTCTATAGTGTACTATAATTTGCTTAACAACATTGCTCAAAATTTTGGAAACTTCTGATTATGAACCATAAAGAAGTTGTAAGCTATTGATTGGAGATAATCATCAATGCATGTATAATTTGTTGATATAATAAGCATGCTAATAATTATCTGTGCATGTATTATATGCTTACTATATATTCAGCTTGCTAATTATTGTGCACTTATGTGTGACAGGATGCACAAAACAGAGTTGCGGCATTTGCTCTCCATAAGCTATTTTCTGATTTGCCTGTTCACTTTGCAATTACTGAACCTTATGCCTCTCTAGTTTTGATCTGGAAACAAGGTAATTTTGATAATTTGCTCTTTGTTTATTTTTTGAAAACAAATTTTGCAGTGAGAATTCCAGCAATGTTCATTAAAGTTTCAAATGATTGACCTAGTTTACAAAGTCGTCTTACTAGTTCAGGAATTGTGATATAGACCATGGTAACTCTACAAAAACATTAGTGGATGAAGTACGGCATAATTATTTGCTAAATGTTTTGACATGTTTAAGATGTCATCGTTCATATGTTCTGACCTTTAATGGTTGCAATATTATAATCACTCTTAAAAGAGTTTCTTTGAGGTTTCGCAGAGGAATCGTTAGGTATACCAACCAGAGAAGAAGAACGAAGAGCAAAATTTGTTGAAAGCTTGCTTGAGGCAGACAATTTCAGCTTGACCACTTCTTCGTGTGGCATACAAAATGCACTTCCAATGGTAGACTCCTGTGTCAAAGAGAACGATGACTTGGATGTTGTCAAATCTAACCATAGAGCTAAAAGTATGTTTCTTGGATTCAATTTTTCACAGATTGTATAATATAACCCTGGAATTTACTGCCAAAATCATAAGCGGGAAGTGTAATCTTTTGTATGATATGTTACAGGAAACTTTTCCATGGAAACTGAATGTTCTTCTCTCAAACAAAAACAAGAAAACAAGAAGAAGATGCCGAAGTACAAGGTATAATATTCTTGTTTATGCTTGAACATAAGGTTTGGCTCTAGCGACGGTAAACAATGTAGTTCATGTAGCTAATTTTACGCGTTACAGTTATATGCTTAAAACTTCACAGACTAGTTAGCTTATTCCATTTAGGAATGTAGGATTTTGTTTTTGGCATGGTAACTGCAGCTTCACTAGTAATCCTATTATTATTTTGTAGGAAATGTTAAAAACTAGAGCTGCTCTTCCTATATCAGAAGTGAAGAAGGATATACTGCAGAAGCTTAAAGAAAAAGATGTCTTGGTGGTATGCGGAGAAACAGGCTCCGGAAAGACTACACAGGTTTGGTCTCGTCAGCTACTCCCTGTTATGTAGCATATCTTCCAGCTATAAGCTTTGAGTCATTTCTAATTGATACATTATTCCAGGTTCCTCAATTTATACTGGATGATATGATCGACTCGGGGCATGGTGGATACTGTAATATTATATGCACACAACCTCGGGTGTTAGCAGTGAGTATCTCGGTGTTAAGATATCATGTTTTCAGGAAATGCTTGTTTGGTTTATACTGATATAAACTGTGTGATCTGTTAATTCTCGTTAATCCTTTTACTTCTGCAAAGCTTAGTGATGTCAATTAGCCTAGCTAGCTCTATACTATTTCTACTTTTTTGTTTCTGTTTGTAACTGTGTAATATGGTTTAGGCTATCTCTGTTGCTCAAAGAGTTGCTGATGAGCGCTGTGAACCTCCTCCAGGCTTTGATGATTCTTTGGTTGCTTATCAAGTTCGTCATCAAAATGCAAGGTCTGCCTCTTGTATGCCTTTCTATAGCTATGGGGCTTGAAATGGATGACTGGAAACATTTCTTCTTTTCTTATCTATGTTTTGGTAGAATTTGGGCGTAATGTTATTTCCTTGTGTACTTGTTCAGGAGTGACAAGACAAGGCTGCTGTTTTGTACTACAGGAATTCTCCTGAGAAAACTTGTGGTACGTCCCTATTTTCTTAGTAAGCCCTTGTGCATGCAATACCTGAACAGAACTTGCAGGGGCATAAGCAAAAACTAATCAGCAATCTCACATTTATAAATCTGTTTGTTCGTTTGTGCAAACCTTTCAGGGGGATAAGACCTTGAAAGATGTTACACATATTATAGTCGATGAAGTGCATGAGCGGTCTCTTATGGTGAGTATTCATTAACGCACTAATGAATTTCATGTCAAAATAAATATATTTTGGCATCATTGCTAAGCAAAATAGACACACTTAGAATGACAGTCATTTTGCAAGTGTTGAATAATCTCACCAGAAAATGCCTTTCACTTCATTTCAGGGTGATTTTCTTCTCATTATTTTGAAGATCTTGATTGAGAAGCAATCCTGGGATAATGCATTACCTAAACTGAAAGTTATCCTTATGTATGTATTTGTAGCTTTTTTTCGTTTTTCGATGACAGAATATAATAAAGTAAGTAAACACTACTTTCGTGTGTATTCATGCTTGTGATGCCTTTTCAGGTCCGCTACTGTTGATGCACATCAGTTCTCAAGATATTTTGGTCAATGTCCTATAATTACTGCTCAAGGACGAACTCACCCGGTTACTACTTACTTTCTGGAGGACATTTATGAGAGGACTAAGTACCTTCTGGCTTCAGATTCACCTGCTGCTCTAAGTTCTGATGCATCCATTACAGACGAGGTATTATAATATTTTGGATGCTATACTGAAAATTTCATTTAGATGTATTGTTGAAACTTTGGATAACAGGACATTGACCAATATCTGCAGCTTGGTTCTGTAAACGTCCGTAGGGGGAAAAGAATCTTATGTTGGCTGGCTGGGGAGACAGTTATTTGGTTTCAGAGGACGGTCTTAACTCGTCTTACGATTCCAGTAACTACGAATCTTACAGTGACCATACGCGAAAAAATCTGGTACTTTGCCTTTCGAGTTTAAGCTTCTGTTTCTCTTATTCACCTAGTTTTTCTTGAGTTAAATACATTGCAAGTGCTGTGCAGAAAAGGTTAAATGAGGATATTATTGACTATGAGCTTCTTGAAGAGTTGATATGCCACATTGATGACACTTGTGAGGAAGGAGCCATTCTTGTGTTTTTGCCTGTAAGTTGATACTGAGATCTTTTGTGTTATTTTGAGAATTAATCATCTATCACTTTTTCATGACATTTGTTTGGTTAATAACAGGGAATGGCAGAAATCAACATGCTACTCAATAGGTTATCTGCTTCCTATCATTTTCGTGGACCTTGTGGAGATTGGCTTCTTCCTCTACATTCTTCTATTGCATCTACAGAACAGAGAAAAGTGTTTCTGCGCCCCCCTAAAGGCATAAGGAAGGTAATATAGTTATAAGAGTTTCTTGAGCTATCTTCTTTTAAATAAGCTGATAATACACTCTGAATGAAAATATTATGATCTTTTCCATAACTGCAAAGCCGATCTGATTCGCCTTTTGCGTCGTATTTCATATTCAGGTTGTCATAGCTACAAATATTGCCGAGACCAGTATAACAATTGAGGATGTGGTTTATGTGATTGACAGTGGAAAACACAAGGAAAATCGCTATAATCCACAGAAGGTATTCCAAATTCTAGTAAATTCCTTGGTGGATATAGGTTTAATGATAGAAGGATAAGAGTGTCATGTTTAGTAAAAACTGTTAACTGTTCTAGTTAAAATTAAAGTGAAAGATTTCGCAGCAAAAAAAAAAAAAACTTCCTTTTTAGCCATTTAAGCTGAATCCTTTGTGCTGAAAATGATGTGAACATTACACCAATTTTTAGTTATGGTTACAAATTCCATTTCCTTGCAAAACCGTTTTATAAGATTGATGTCCGTTTTTTGTGTATATCTAATAATCTGTATCTCTAAATTACTTTGGATATATTAACGCTATTGATGAAATATAGTTGCTTCATGATTATTGTGTTTTGTCTCTGAGATGTCATCTTTTGGTGCTCAATTATTATATTTATCAGAAATTGTCAAGCATGGTGGAAGATTGGGTATCTAAAGCAAATGCAAGACAAAGAATGGGAAGAGCTGGACGTGTCAAACCTGGACATTGCTTTTCATTGTACACACGTCATAGGTTCGAGAAGCTCATGCGTCCCTATCAGGTGTCTTTCTTTTAAACGTTTTCTTCGCTGGTTTCTCGATCACTTGGAATTTTCCCTTAAACTCACCTGTGTCATCTTGATGTCTAGGTTCCTGAGATGCTGCGTGTGCCTTTAGTAGAGTTGTGTTTACATATCAAATTACTTGGCTTGGGTCACATTAAGCCGTTTCTGTCCAAGGCAAGTGACACCAACTTTTACTGCCAAAAGAAATAACATTATTATTCGTCTTACTCTTTTTTCACTTATTGTTTTTAGGCTCTGGAACCTCCGAGTGAAAGTGCTATAAACTCTGCAATTTTATTGTTGCAAAAGGTACAATGTACTTGTATTGGATATAAGTCTTTATTTTGTAAAAACTATTAGTTCTTGATACCTCCAAAAGTTATGAGACATATAGTTGATGTGTTACCGTTGTCCTGAAGTGGGTAGTCAGTCTCATTTCCATTGTTTAAGTATAGTTCTTTAGGGTTTGTTACACTTAGAACTCCCTCTACTTATGTTTTCTCAACCACTATGTGTGTATATCTTTGTGTCTTCTGTGCTGAGCCTTCTTTATGAACCCTGTCTTTTTAGGTCGGTGCTCTTGAAGGGGACGAAGAGTTGACACCACTAGGACATCATTTAGCAAAACTTCCTGTTGATTTGTTGATTGGAAAGGTTTGTTTCAGTAACATTATTGCTGTACTAAAAGTGGCCTCTCAAACATATGTTTTGTTTATCATCACTACACCTTTTAAATAATGCAGATGCTGTTATATGGTGGCATTTTTGGTTCCTTATCACCTATTCTCTCGATTGCTGCTTTCTTGAGCTGCAAATCGCCATTTGTATATTCCAAAGATGAGGTATGTTTTTACTTTCTCAGAAACTTGGCTGTTTTGCGCAAGGGGTTTTCAACTGACTCTATGTTTGCTCTTCTTTTTCTTAAAAGCAAAATGTCGATCGCGTGAAACTTGCTCTTTTGTCTGATAAGCTGGAGAGTTCGAGTAATTTAAACAACAATGACAGACAATCTGATCACCTCCTTGTGGTGGTTGCATATGAGAAATGGGTGAAGATACTGCATGAGGTATGTGATCAAAGGGTATCACTAGCTGCCTCTTACTGTCTGCCACCTCCTTATGGTGATTGCATAGTCCATAAGCTTGAATAGTCTGCAAACTGACGTGTATTTTGTGTTTGTGATGTCTCCAGCAAGGATTTAAAGCTGCAGAGAGGTTCTGTGAATCAAAGTTTTTGAACAGCTCAATGATGCAGACGATAAGGTACAATGTACTTTGATACTATAACTTGTCAACAAAAGATTTCCAAGATAACATTGAAAAGATTGAAAATGAAACTGTTTTATTTTGGTTTCTTGTCAAGTAACTTAAATATACTTCTTGTTTTTGACTTTTCACAAATATCAGAGACAGGAGAGTAGAGTTTGGCTTTTTGCTTGCCGACATCGGGCTCATCAATCTTCCTAAAGGCGAGGTAATCTATATATAACAATATTTGAGAAGTGTTTTTGCTGACGTGTCGGACTCTCGGCTCTTGTTGAGTCATTGATTTTACGTAATTACTTAATTACCCTTAATGAAATCTAATTAATTTTGGAAAAATTAAATTGAATTTCGGAATTAACCAGGAAAAAATAATTTTGGAAACAATAAACATGATAATTAACCAAAAAAAAAAAAAAGGAACAACGAAGTACCAGTTCGGAAGCTTTAATTGAATTCATCGTGTTCTTCGTCGTGTGAATATAATTCTTCTAAACGAAGGCAAAACTTGAAATCCTAACATAAAGCATATATTCATAGCAATAACAGAGATCTAATAATTTAGTGATAGAATTTCACCTGTTGATCTGTCGAAGCAGAATAGTCAAGCTTCTCATAGTATCTTGCCCATGTTATGTCTTTAAGACGTCAATACTATCCTGCACCCTATAATTCTAACCAATGAAAAGAACAAATATTTATTACCTTGGATACAGAGTTGACGAAGAAACCTTGGATAAAAACTCGACGAAGAAACTTGTAAGTGTTAATGTATGATGAAGCTTCCATGAACGTGAATTCGTGATCATAATGAAGAAACGTGTGAGTGGAGACGGTTGATGGTTTTTTTTTTTTTTTTTTTTTTTTTTTTTTTTTTTTTTTTTACCTTTTGTGTAAACAGATCTGTTTCATAATTTATCGGAAAAGGAATTATACCAAAAAAAAAAATCGGAAAAGGAAAATATTTATTATAATATTGATATATTTAAGATGATAATGTCAAATATCCGAAAATTATTAATCGGAGCATTAATATAAACATAAAAGAATACTATTCTAATCTTACTCAAATTAATAAGATTTAGATATCCGAAATTAATCGTAAACGGCTATTAATTGTTAAACTAATTAAAATAAAAATCAAACGTACCGGAATAGATGAAATTTTTGGTATTATCGTCGTGTTCGTCGTCGTTTCAATCTAAATATTTGGAAAAAAAAACGAACAAAAAAAATAATATGTAGATCAATGAAAGAGAACCCACCAATTTAGAAACGGTTATCACGCCATCGTATTGTTCGTCGGATGATTATAAGTCTCTAATCCGGAGATTGACTTGAACCCTGACAAAAACATATATTCATAGCATAAAATCGTAAATAGAAGGTAGAAGACCACCTATTAATCGGTTGTAACCTTGTGCAAACTCGATTTAATTTTGACGAATGAAATGTTGGTGTGGTGTCAAAACTTTCTTGGGGAGACTCGAAGATGAGAGAGCTGAAGTCAGAGATAGGCAGAGAGGTTTACATGTGAATTAAGGTATGGAGTGCTAACGTGAACATGAACGTGGACGGCGGTGATTTTTGCACATAATAGCAATTAGATCGAGTTTTGGAAAAAAATATGGATCAGCGTGACATGACGCATATGAATACCATGCATGTCTATCTATTGTAAATTAAAAATTATATTATTGTTCCGCCTTATTTTTGAAACAGAAAGTAATTTTCCCTTAAATTTTAATATATTTTATAAGATAGTATCAGATATAGTAGTAAATCTAAAATAGTTGTTATTATTCCATATTTTTACGGAAAAAAGTAAATATTATTTTAAATAAACATGGATAACAATGAATAAATGGCAGTTTTACAAATATTTATTATTATGATAGTGATTTGCTTATTAAAATATGTAAATTTTATTTTCTTTTTTTGTATTTATCGTCGAAAAATTTAGAAACCCTAAATCATGCACCGCCTCCTATTCAATATAAATACCTTGCTCATGGTATTCAATTTCAGATCATAACTAACCCTTGTTTTTTTTGTTCTTTTTTTTCAAACTTTTTTTTGCTTCTACCTAATTTTAATTTTTCTTTTTATTGTAGGGTGGATGTATGGAGGGGACGATGTGAACTGGTGTATGGAAAATTTGGACCTAATTCAATGAATAAACAGGTGATCTTATAGTTTATATGTACAAATTTGATTTTTTTTTTGTATTTATGGTTTCACTATTTTCACCACTAATCAATTTTTATAATCAAAAAGTTTGGTTTCAACTTTTGAGAAGGTAATCATCAATGGTTTGGTATGTTTCTTTTTGTTGTAAAAAGATGAGGTACCTCCCGATTTTGTTGAGGTACATGTTCTTATTATTTTCAAATATGTCTTTTTTCAGAAGAAACACTCAACTTTTGATAACACAGTTGCCACAAAGTCAGAAAGATGACTTATTTCAGGGATGAATCTTCAGAGGAGGCTAATTTTTGTCGTTAATACAATTTAAGTATTCCTCTCTTTAGATTAGGGATAACAAACTTTGCTGTTAAATTCAGGAATTACTCTTCGTTGCCAATCTCTCTCTCCAAACTAAAATATTACATATATGGAAGTAGTAACTTAAAGTTTTTGGTATCGAGGTCATTCTAAGGCACTGAGATTCGGACTTTGGTATGTATAGGATTCGTTTTCCATGCACTAAGATTTAATTATTGTTTAATTTATTGGTTTTTAGGTTTTTTTCCATGCTCTGATGCGTTTTCGGGTGTGCCAATGGAAGCTTGCATCACTCTTTACTCCAAGCGTAAGTATGCTCTGCATTAGCTTCTTCTGTTCCATTGGTTATTATGGGTTTTGACTTTTGAGAAATATACAACAATTTAAAACCAGGTTTTGTTGTTGATTGGTTCGGTTTGTATACCATATTTTGCTAAATACATATGACCATAAATAAGACCAAAGGAGCTGGGTTAGCTCCTTTGCCAGCTAGGTTGACTTCGTCTCCTCCCCGTCTTGCGGATTTCCGTTATTCAACGGGTATATTTGAGAAGTATACGGTACTAAAACCACAACCATTGATCTTAGCTTGATCGGTTCTTCCCTAGGATTTATAAAAGTAAATTGTAGCGTTGATTGTGACATCAAATTGTTTGTCGGATGAATATAAGTCTCTAATCCAGAGACTGAAGTTGAACCCTAACAAAAACATATATTCATAGCATAAAATTCATAAATAAAAGGTAGAGCATCACATAGCTTTTTCTTCAAAGCCAACACATCTCTCTTTGTAGCCGAATTACTCTCCAGTTTGGTAAATACTCAAATTTTTAGCTTTTTCTTCAAAGCCAACACATCTCTCTTTGTAGCCGAATTACTCTCCAGTTTGGTATCTTGTGAGTCACTTGATATGTTGTTTAGGTAAAACTTTTGGTTTGAAAGAGAATGATCTACGACAAGCATAATCGGTTATTTGTTATATATGTGGCCATGTTCATATTGCTTTCTCCACAAGCAATTTTCCAGTTTTGTAGCATTCGATATTTAAATTTAAAAGCTTCAATACGTTGTATACATGTGTATGTATGTACATATATGAATTATTCTCAGTTGCACATAGTGGTTTCTAAGGGATAGATACTTGCTCTCTGTAACCCTCTCATTTTTAGTACCTATCTTCAGTGTTTACTTTGCTAAGAGCTTCTTGATAGGCATACATCTTTGCAATCTCAGATCAATATACTACAAATACATATACGATACAGTTAAGAAAATGATATTTCTCTTACAACTTTTTATATGGGTTTTATAAACAAGAGATCAACTGAAGGGTTACGCAGCGACCAATGGCGAAGGTAGAGACAAAGATACTACAATAGGGACGATAAATATGACACGATATATACAAAGGAGATGCCTGTTTCTATACCATTGAAATTTTACGTACATAACTACTTCAAAGAGCAAGATGACTTACTTGATAGGTAAGAGATATGGTAAGAGATTATATTTTTCAATTATTTGTTTCCAACTACGAAAAACTCCAGTGACATACAATCTAAGAGCATGAATATGTCATAAAATCAAGAATACAACAAAAACCAGGAAGATGGGCCCAAATTAAAGTCCGAAACTGGACGTGGGGAACCCACGGACAGTGGCGGTCGGAGCGTTACAAATATGAAAGAAACGAGGAAGCGTGAATATGTCATAAAACCAAGAGTACTAAAAAACCAAGAAGATGTGCTCAAAGAACGAAACTGGACGTGGGAACCCACAGACAGTGGCGTTCGTGGCATTACAAATATGAAAGAAACGAGTAAGCATGAATATGTCATAAAATCAAGAGTACGACAAAACAAAGAAGATGGGCCTAAAGACCGAAACTGGACGTGGGGAGCCCACGAACAGTGGCGGTCGGGGCGTTGCTAATATGAAAGAAACGAGTAAGCATGAATATGTCATAAAATCAAGAGTACGACAAAACAAAGAAGATGGGCCTAAAGACCGAGACTGGACATGGGAACCCATGGACAGTGGCGGTCGGGACGTTGCTAATATATTGTTGGTTTAAATATATAGATTTTTTTATTTAATTCTATTATATATATCAAGATATAAACACTAATAATTGTTTGTGATTCAAAAACACTATTAATTGTTGATTACTAATAATATATATCAAAAGTTATAGCGTTTTACCATAATTCTATATTAATGTCGTTATAAAAATTAGACTCTTGACAAAATTAATTCAATAAATATCCCTAACTTGATAACCCTAAATATTAATTATTAATTCTGGTTTTAATTAACATACAACCCCGCGCTGGGCGCGGGGACCTCCCCTAGTTTATCTTAAAACATCTGAAGTATTGATGGCGTTGGCACAAAGCACAGATGTCTCTGATCTTACATGCATCAAAACATTGTTAGGATTGTTAAGTTTTTTGATACAACATCATCAAGTTCCATGATGTGAATAAAGCTTGGGAAGAAAGAAAGCCCATGTTTGTCTAAGGAAATCTGATCATGAATGAACTTTTTTTTCTTAGGGGAGAAGGAAGGAGAATCTTGATGTTTGGTTTTCTGACAAAACTCAACCTTTCAATATGTATTCACAAGAACCTGAAGTTGTTAAGGTAAAACTACATCTTTTTCTCTACTGCTCAGAACTTTTCTTTGTTGTTGTTACTAAGCATCTATGTTTTCATCTCTAGTTGCGCTAGAAGTTCAATGCCATTATCTAGAAAGCAAAATGGCATAATAAATTGGTTTATGTATTTTCAAGTCTGGTAAACTTCCTGATTGTATTCTGCGAGAAGATTAAGCGTAAAACTTGTTTTGCACAATAGAAGAAATCTTTTTTATATACTATGAGAATTTCTTATGAACCTTAGGCTCTAATGTTATCAAGTTTTTTGGATAATCAGTTAATCTTTTGTCAGCACCTGAGTTCAGTTTCCAATTTGTACAGGCTATTTTATGCGCGGGACTATGTCCTAATATTGCAGAGGGATTAGTTAACCGTTTAACAAAGCCAGCAAAAGAAACAGAATGTTATGCAGTATGGCATGATGGCAAAAGAGAAGTCCATATCGATCGAACCTCTATAAACAAAAACTGCAAAGCGTTTCAATATCCTCTCATTGTGTTCCTCGAGAAGGTGACTTTTTAGTTTTTATATCTCTGACTTATGTGCCTCAGAATTTCAGATTTAGCTTCTTATTATATCATTGCATTTGATTGTTAGAATGTAGATTATGGTGTAAATTTTTAAACATAGCTAATCACAGATAGTATATTCAACTTTTCTTTGTTCTTGTAGGTCCAAAAAAACAAATTGGTATATCTTCAAGATACAACAGTTGTTTCTCCATTTTCCATTCTACTTTTTGGCGGCTCAGTCAATGTTCATCATCAGGTACTGTTAATCATTTTTCAATCGAAAACAAGTCATTGAGCTGAATGATCTTATGTCTCAAGACTCTTTGCCAGAGTCTTTTTGGTTACTCTATAATTGGCCTTTGGTTTGTCCTGTGTGATCTTTACCTTAAAACTTTACCTTTCATTGCAGAGTGGATCAGTAACCATTGATGGGTGGTTAAAGCTAACAGCACCAGCTCAAACCGCGGTTTTGTTCAAAGAGCTACGACTAACCCTCCATTCCATTCTCAAAGATCTTATCCGAAAACCCGAGGTTAAAAATTTAAGCCTTTGTTTGATCTACTTGGTTAAGTAAGTAGTTCATGACTAAACTCTCCTCTCTCTTGTGTTTTTCAGAAATCAGGTATAGTCCATAACGAAGTCGTCAAAGCTATGGTCCATCTTCTTATAGAAGAAGGCAGACCGCAACACTCATGAACTTAATATTGTTCCACGAAATGAAGATCGGATTGTGTGTAAATTAGAAAATAACTCTTTATTTTAGTAACTACTATTTTATGGAGGTGGATTCAGATCAACGGTGCTCAACTATCTAAATATTTCCTCGATTGTAAATTAAGTGTCCTTATAGAATTGTTTTTTGTATCACAAATAGTGTTGTTGAACATTTTCGATGCAAAAGTTAGAAGATCTTTCTATAACACTATTTGAACTTAGAGGAAGATGACGAGTATTTTTAAAAAAGTTTCTTAATTTGTGAAAAAATAGGTTGATATTTTTTAAAACAAGGTTGATTACAAGACAACTAGAATCGGACCCGGACGTACGTCTGGGGTTATGATAACATACAAAGTTCCGAGTTAAAAATTCATGTCATTAGGTTGTGTGTTTGTTTGGGAAACAAAGTTTGACATGACTATGTAAATGTGATTATATTTGAGAGAGATGATATTATTGAATAATATGGTATGGAAAACCAATGTAAGCTATATTTAAAAGATGTTTGTGTGTATATGTATTACTCCCTCTGTTTCATTTTATAGGATGTTTTAGAGTTTTTAGTTTGTTTCAAAATATAGGATGTTTACAATTTTCTATGCAACTTTTAAATAACTTTTAAATGCATTTGATATTTTATCACTATTTATGTTCTGCAGTCTTTTATATCACTGGTTGAATTGTACTAAATTAAATATTAAATGATAGTTTTTAAAAGCAAAAATTAATTTCTTAAAATATGTGCTTTTAGTCAAAACATCATATATTTTGAAACAGAGGGAGTAAAAAATAGTTGGGTTTTGGAGGGGTTAAGTTTGGTAAAACAAAAAGATGCATTAAATGCAATAGATAAGAATATATAATTATAAATTAGTGTGGTAATCCATCTTAAACATGTAATATGCTATATATAATTTAAGTATTTCTAATTTAGTACCTTTCTTATTATACATGTAGAAATTATAGAGGTGCCAAAACCTATAAATAACTAATTTTAGTTGGGCCAATTAATTTTTATTATGTTTTTTTGAAATAAATTTTTTCTTGGGCCAAATGTTGAGTTACTCCATATTGTTTAAAATTTTTGTGAGAGAATTAGATAAACATTTATCACCTACTGAAACTATTTAAATATTAGTTTGAGGGGTTACTGCATGTTTAAGAGAGTTATCAACCCACATAAACTTAGTAGAGTAGAAATTAAATATTATAGAATCGAAATAAGTTCAACAGTATAAAAGATAAGCTAAGAGCACATAGTATTTTTTTTTGCAATGGATTCTCACATATTCTCTCTTCCAGACTCTTCGTGGATGCTTCATTTGATTCATCTTTTACCATCACATTGTTGAGATAATAACGACCAGCAAAGTCGCATCTGACATGATAAAAAAAAAAATTAGTATGAGCAAATGAAGTAAAATGGTACATGAAAACTATGTTGAAAAGATGCTTTCATTGTGTTGTTGCCATCGATCAAGAAGAATGTGCCATCAAACTTGATGAAGCTAAAGTATGACATTCAAAGATATCCTTTGGCTCTTCGTCTTTGGATCCTTGGTCTGTTCCATTGTTGCAATCAGCCTTCAGCCGAGTGAGTTTACTAGAAGGACCAAATGCATTTCTTTGTGAGAGATACACGAGCACAACAGCTCCACAAATTTCTCAAATAGAAAACATTGAAGCATCAGACCATGTAAGTTCAGTCGGAAATCGGAAGCTCTCGCCGGAAATGAAGATTGGAGATCAGAAGATCTCTCTGTCGGGACACTCAAAATATTGTGTATTTTATGTTTATTTAATAAAGTTTGATAATCAAAAGCAGGGTACTTCATTTGAACAGCTCAGTGATGCGGACGATGAGGTACATTGTACTTTGATGATATAACTTGTCAACAAAAGATTTCCAAAATAACACTGAAAAGATTGAAAATGAAACTATTTTGTTTTGGTTTCTTGTCCAATAACTTAAATATATGTCTTAGTTGAAGTTTTTCTTTTTCGTTCGGGCCTATGTCAAACTCAAGAATATATGAATGACTTGTATTCCTTAGACTCAAAGGTCTTGTATTTATACAAAGAGAAGAGAACTCTCATTCAAAACCCTAGCTAAAGGAAAAGGTAAATATACATAATAGAGATTTGGTAATATCTACAAGATTAGGAAAATATCCTCTAGTATCCTCAATACCCCCCCTCAAGTTGGAGCGTACAAGTTCCGGATGCCCAACTTGAGAAGGAATGCATCAAACTCTTTGCGTCCTAAAGCCTTGGTGAGTATATCTGCGAGCTGTTCCGTGGTAGAAACATGCTGTGGTTTGACGACCCCTTTAATGATTTCATCCCGTACAAAATGACAGTCACGTTCAATGTGTTTCGTACGTTCGTGAAAAAACGGATTGGAACTGATGTGAATAGCCGGCTTACTATCACATTGAATAGTCATGGGTTCACGATGATCAAAACCAAGATCCTGAAGAAGTTCTTTAAGCCATTTCAACTCTTTAGTAACTTCATTCATAGCCCGGTATTCAGCCTCCGCAGAAGACATGGAAACAACGTCTTGTTTCTTAGTCTTCCATGAAATCGGAGAAGAGCCAAGTTGCACAAACCAACCCGTGAGTGATCTTCGCGACAACGGGCAGCCAGAAAGATCGGAATCACACCAGCCCGTAATGTGTAATGGTGAGTCGGAGCGAAGGAGAATCCCTTGACCAAGCGTCCCTTTGAGATATCGTACAACTTTGAGAGCAGCGAGCCAATGTTCTTCTCTTGGTTGATTCATAAATTGAGAGAGAATATGTATCGCATAAGTAAGATCCGGACGTGTAGCAAGAAGATAGATTAAGCGACCAACCAAGCGACGATAAGTCAGAGGATCCGCGAGCTCGGGACCCGTAGCAAGAGACAACCGATGATTCTGATCTATAGGAGAGCCTGCGGGTTGACATCCAAGTAGACCAGCTTCCGCAACGATCTCCGTTGCATATTTCTGTTGACTTAAATAAATACCCGCAGGACTTCTTGCCACTTCGATACCCAAAAAATATTTTAAGAAACCCAAATCCTTCATGTGGAAACAAGTTGATAAGTAATGCTTAAAACTCTCAATTTCCGTTGGGGAATTTCCCGAAATAATCAAATCATCAACGTAAACCAATATCCGAAGAGAGACACCTTTCTTGGAGTAGACAAATAGAGAGTAATCCGAACGAGTTTGGGAAAAACCATACTTGAGAAGAGCATCCACAAGCTTAGCAAACCAACACCGAGGAGCTTGTTTTAAACCGTATAACGACTTGCGTAGACGACACACACGCGTATCACCAGGAGAAGAAAAACCTTGTGGAATTTTCATATAGACTTCTTCATGGAGATCACCATGGAGAAAAGCGTTGTGAACGTCCATTTGATGGACCTCATGATTTTTCTTGGAGGCATAATCGAGAAACATACGTACCGTCGTCATCTTGGCCACCAGACAAAATGTTTCCGTATAATCAATACCCTCTTTCTGATGATTACCGAGAACAACAAGTCTAGCTTTATGTCTTTCAAGAGTACCATCCGAACGAAGCTTGATTGTAAAAACCCACTTGCTGCCAAGAGCTTTCTTATCGGGTGGTAATTCTTCAAGATCCCACGTATGATTACGTTGCAAGGCATCAATCTCAGATCCCATAGCATTTTTCCAAACTTCGTATTTCATGGCCTCATGAAAAGAACGTGGTTCGGTGGTAGTAGAGAGAACCGCCAAGTAACTGCGATGCTTAGTAGAAAACTTATCATATGAGAGATAATCAGAAAGAGGATATAATGAACCTGAGGAAGGCTGAAGAGTGGATGACGAGGGAGGGAGAGAGGGTGAAGAAACTGAAGCCGAACCAACAACATAACCATCAAGGCGAACATTTGGTGTTTTCTTTCTCTTTCCCTGGCCAAGCTCTTCAACTATTAGTATTGTAGCCGTACTCAGAACATTAGGGACAACCGGATCCGTACCAGCTTCAGGAGCCGGTGGAGTAGTTGGCAAAACCGTGGAACATTCTTCACGACCTGTGTCATGGGACAAATCCGGAGCATCGACATCATCATGGGAAACAACTCCAACGATCGGAGGAGGAAGGTCATTGACAGCCGAGGGAGGAGATGTATTTGTAGTAGACAGCGGAAAAATATTTTCTTGAAATGTGACATCACGAGAAACAAAAAATATCTCTCGTTCCAAGTCATAGAGCTTCCATCCTTTCTTACCGTAAGGGTACCCTAAGAAAATACAACGTCGGCTTCTTGAAGCAAATTTATCTCCTCGGTGATCAATATTATGAGCATACGCAAGACAACCAAAAACCCGTAAATGTGTATAAGACGGAGCATGCCCATATAATTTTTCAAACGGTGTTAAACCATGAAGCAATGAAGACGGTGTATGGTTGATAAGGTACCCAGCAGTGAGTATGCATTCTCCCCAATGATCAAGCGGTAAGCTAGCTTGAAATCGCAAAGCTCTAGCAACATTCAAAATGTGACGATGTTTTCTTTCAACACGGCCATTATGCTGCGGAGTATACACACAAGAAGTTTCATGAATAATACCTTCTTCTCGAAAGAACTTCGTGAGACACATGAACTCACTTCCATTATCACTTCGTATGGATCGTATTTTCTTGGAAAATTGGCGCTCGATTAATGCCAAAAATTCACGGATGTATCGAGAGACTTGCGTCTTGTCAAGAAGAAGATAGAGCCAGACCGCACGAGAGTGATCATCAACTATGGTCAAAAAATAACGTGAGCCACAAAATGCCGTAGTACGATACGGTCCCCATAAATCAACATGAATTAAATCAAAAATTGCTTTTGCATTATTAGAACTGTCGGAAAAAGACTGTCTAGTTTGCTTTGCTCGTAAACACACATCACAATTCTTAAAAAACTCACTACTAGTATTAGAAAGCCCACGAACATCAGGGATCATTCCAGTAACACGAGAAGACGGATGCCCAAGACGATTATGCCACAAAACCACATCATCTTTAACACTTGTTTGTAATGCCGCCACTGTCTCAATCCCGCGAAACCGGTACAACCCCTCTCCCTCTCGTTCACCCGACCCAATCAGCGTCCTCGTGATGCGGTCCTGTAAAATCATAAGTCGGTCAGTTACTTGTCCCACAAGATTTTTATCGGTGACTAGCTGGCCAAAAGAGATCAAATTTATATGAAAACCCGGGACCAAGTAAACATTATTAATCGACAATTTAGAGGTTAATTTCACGGTCCCCTGTTTCGTTGCAATGGCGTCTTTGCCGGCTGGAAGAGAAACCGAGACCGGAGCTATGTCACGAAGGTCCGTCAAGAGATCAAAGCGACTTGTCATGTGATGTGTTGCTCCGGTATCTAAAAACCAAACAACTTCGTTACTCTTACCACTTAGTTGAGAGGATCCTTTGCCAGCATTGATAACTTTTTCCACTATCTTCCATTGTTCATCAGTCATTCCCAACAATCCTTGTCGATCAGCCTCAGTAATCTCAGAAGATCCAATAGCAGCGGAGTTAGCATTCACAATTTGCGTGAGATTTGCTCGAGGAGCACCACCACGTCCTCGGCCAGCAGAAATACTCGGAGAGCTCCGGGTATCATTCCGGTTGCGTGGTCGATTACCCCACCATTCTGGGTAACCCACAACCTTAAAGCATGAAGAAGCTTCATGGCCCATACGGCCACAAGCAGAACACTGTCGGGATGGATCTTTGTTGCCAGGTCCAAAGCGAGATGGGCCGGAAAAACTGTTGTTGCGTTTCGTGACATCTCGTGTGAAGACCGGATTTGAATTGTGAGAGGAGCTCAAACCAGAAACCTGAGAAGCAAAACCCATCACAGCCACATCATTCGTCACATTGGATCGTAACGTTTCATTTTGAGTAATGGTTTGATAAACGGTATCCAAATCAGGGAGTGGACTTATAGCACAAATCTGGGAACGTATAACTCCATGAGTAGAGTCATCGAGGCCCGAGAGAAAATCATGAATTCGGAGAGTTTCAATTTCCTTATCACGAGCAGAATTGAGGTCGCATTCACACTTTCCACAGCTACACTTTTTCGAATTCATACACTCAGCGATTCCATCCCACAACTTCGTGAGACGGCCAAAGTAATCATCCACGCTTGACCCGTTTTGCTTGCAGTTAGCCAGAGAGTTGCGGAGCTGTTGTAGTCGAGCCCCGCTTTTGATGGAGAACCTCTTTTTGTTGATGTCCCAAAGATCTTTGGCTACTTCTCTTGTTGAAATCGTCGATCTAATTTTTGGTTCAATCGTCTGTTTGATCCATCCAACAAGCAAGTGGTTGTTTGCAGTCCAATCCTCAAGCTCAGGAGAACCCGCAGCCGGTTGTGATATGCTCCCATCGAGGAAGCCAAACTTCTTCCTAGAGCTCAAGGCCATCCGTAGGTTAAGAGCCCATTCATCGTAGTTGAAACCAGTGAGCAGAGGCTGAGAGATCACTGCCCCTGGGTTATCATTAGAGGTAAGGTCGTATGGAGAGATAGTCTTGTGTTTCGGATTTGTTGTCGTCAAAGCCATCGTAAGTGCTCTGTTTTAAGAAGAGATTGCCGAGAAAACAGAGCAAAAGAAGAAAGAACAGAGATGCCGAGAGGTGTGGAGAAAAAGGAGAAGCCGAGAGGCTTGTAACAGAGATGCCGAGAGGTGTGGAAAAGAAAGAGAAGCCGAGAGGCTTGTAACAGAGATGCCGAGAGGCGTGGAGAAGAAAAAGATTGTCGAGATTTCAAAAGAGATTGTCGGGCTCTGATACCATGTCAAACTCAAGAATATATGAATGACTTGTATTCCTTAGACTCAAAGGTCTTGTATTTATACAAAGAGAAGAGAACTCTCATTCAAAACCCTAGCTAAAGGAAAAGGTAAATATACATAATAGAGATTTGGTAATATCTACAAGATTAGGAAAATATCCTCTAGTATCCTCAATAGCCTAGAATGAAAAAAATGCTTACATCTTTCTATCTTCATCCTTCAAGTCTTATATTTGACTTTTCAAAAATATCAGAGACAGGAGAGTAGAGTTTGGCACTTTGCTTGCCGACATTGGGCTCACCAATCTTCCTAAAGGCGAGGTAACTTATCTTACAACATCTGAACTATTGATGTCGTTGATCGTACATGCATCAAAACAGTGTTTTGATTGTTCTCAAGTTTTGGATACAACGCCATCAAGTTCCATGATGTTAATACAGCTTGGGCAGAAAGAAAGCTCATGTTCGTGTAAGGAAATCTGATCATGAATGAACCTTTTTTTTTGCTTAGGGGAGACGGAAGGAGAATCTTGATGTTTGGTTTTCTAACAAAACTCAACCTTTCAATATGTAGGTCATTGACCGCCACGTCCGAAACAGATTAAGCACTCTCAAGCTTCGTGGTAACTCACAGTTCGAGGACACACTCTGGGTTTGGTTTGGGACAAGACCCAATTCCCTGGCACCCTCTTAGTTTTCTTTTTTTTTTTTTTTTTTTTTTTGGGTATGAATGAAAAATTTATTCACCAAAAAAAAAAGTTTGTACAATGAATGCAACTTTGAGAGTTGATTGTTTTGAAAGAAAGCTAACTGGAGATTTTAAACGAATTGAAACAGAAGAAAAAGAATTAAATGATACGCGTGCGAGTACTAAACTAGTATTGTAGCCCTCCTACGTACGCGTTTGTTCTTGACCTTTGAATGGAGCTGAAGCGATCCTTACATTCTTATCAATGAGTTTTGTGAGATTTGTAGATGGCGTAGGAGTCTCGCCGTGATGCCTGCCATTACGCTCTCTCCACAAAGTATGAATAGTTAATTGGAAGACATACCTTAATGTGAAAGTATGTAGCTTAGGCTGAGAAGTGTTGAGCAAAAGAGAAGAGACTACGCTCCAACTTGCTGCATAACGGTTTTGAAGAATACCTCTTGTGAGAGATGACCACACTTGCGATGAGTAAGGACAAGAAAAGAAAAGATGATCTCTTGTCTCCACTGTTTCTCCACAGAAAACACAACATACTCGAGCCGCCGCATCCCAATTCCTGAGTTTTTCACCCGTTGCTAAACGATCATGGTAAGCTAACCAAGTGATGAAAGAGTGACGAGGAGTAGAGAATGAGAACCAAACTGCTTTGTGCCAGTCACTGATCGGTTTGTGTTCTCGAATTAGATTCCAAGTGTGTTTCGAGGAGAAATTATTCTTGAACCCATCTTCTCTAAATTTCCATAGGGAACGATCATCTTCTTCCTTTCTATTCAAACGAACTACGTCAATCTGGTCCTCTATTTGATTGAGAATACTCACACGATGATTTCGTCTCCTATGATTCTATCGCTCCTCTAACACCCAAGATATCATAGAGCTTCCCCAAATGACACCAAGTATCATGCCAAAAAGAAGTATGCTTACCGGACTTAACCTCTATCTTATGTAGTCCCTTCGCCTTTTCTCTATACTTTAAGAGTTTACGCCACATCCATGAACTGGAGGTCGGGTTTGCTTTCACTGACCACAAAGTAACACCTTTCATTAAATTTTTATGCATCCATTGAACCCACAAGGAATGTTTTGCAGAAACCAACCTCCATATCAACTTTAACATAGCTACCATGTTCACAACTTTAAGTGAATGTATGCCCAGACCCCCTTCTTGTTTTGGTCGACAAACTATATCCCAAGCTACTTTGGTTTTTCGCCCAATTTACTCTGGACCAGACCATAAGAACGCAGCAAATATCTTCTCCACCTCACGGATACAAGAGTTTGGTAACCGAAAAGCTGCAAGCCAAATATTGGTGAGACTTGAGAGGACCGATTTAATCAATTGAAGACGGCCAGCGAAAGATAAGAATCTACTAGTCCAAGAGGCAATATGGGCTCTTATTTTTTCCAAAAGAGAAAGGTAGTCAGATGCAGCCATACACTTTGTTAGTAGAGGTAACCCCAGATAGCGAACAGATAGAGGACCCACTTCGAAGGGAAAACGATGAAGCAAAGCAGCCCTATTTGGTGGTGATAACCCTGCCAAAAAACCCGTCGACTTTTCCAAGCTTATTTTCAGCCCTGACATCGTCGCAAATTTATCAAAAACCTCTAGTATGCCCTCTATAGATCTTGATTTCCCATCCGAGAATACCAAAATGTCATCCGCAAAACATAAGTGCGTTGGACTCATATTCTGACACCGTGGATGGTAGCCAGAATGTCTTTCTACCGCCGCTTTATCAAGCATACAAGAGAGAACATTCATACAAATTACAAAGAGGTATGGAGACAGAGAGCAAGCTTGCTCAAACCCCGCTTACTCCTAAAAAACCCCGCAAGCTCACCATTGACTTGAACTGAGAACGTGGCTGTCCCAATACATAATTCGATCCAGTGAATAAATGTCTCTGGAACGTTCATAGCCTTTAAAATGTTGAGTAAGAAAGGCCATTGCACAGATTCAAAAGCTTTGGAGATATCTATTTTAAGAGCACACCGAGTAGATAGAGAGACCTTGTGATAGTCTTTTGATAACATGGGATTTTCGCCCATATTTGTTATTGTTTTCTTATGTTTTAGGGAGCATTTGGAGTGATTTCAGATGTAATAAGGAGTTATTCAAGTATTTATGGAGCCAAGAAGGTTTTAAGAGTTTTTGAGCTTTAAAGACCAAAAGGCGATCAAAACCCGTTTCAAGACAGTTTCTGTACGTCAGAAGTATGGCATCCGTTCGAGGTATTTCCGGTTACTAAATCAAGATATCTCGGTGGCTGTGGAAAGCTAGAAAAGTCAGGATTTTCCTCGAAGTGGAATCAGAGCTTTTCATTGAGCCGTTCAGAAGTTATGACCAGAAGAGTGAAGACATGTCCAGACCGGCCAGAAGCTATGCAACCGTTCCGGAGCTTCTAGACCGCACCGGTCACAAGGGCCGAGCCCGGGCTGCCTCCTACTCTCCACCCCGGTCACTAAGGCCTCTACCCTGTCCAGAGACGCGAGTTTCACTTAACCTAATCCACGGGAAAAGACGTTTTTACCCCTAAACCTAACCCTTAGTTCCCAAAACCTATAAATACAAGTTGGAAGCCCTAAACCTAGGTGTGCCTTCGAAGAGTCTTCTAAGAGCTGCCGTGAAACCCTATAGTTCGTCCCTGCCCTCGCCGAAGAGCTGCAGCCGTCTTTCCTTGAAGCTTTGAAGAATCACCAAATCTCTCTCTCTCTTTTCTCTTGTCTACTCTAAGATCTATTAAGGTGAAGTCTTACCTCTTGTATTTTACATTCAAAGAAGTAATCTCTAAACCCTATTCAGTTCTTATTCTTCTCTTTCTTATGAGTTTATCAAACCTAACTTTGATGATCTCTTTAACCATTCTAGAGTAGTTTTCTAGTTGGGTTTAAAGGGTTAATCAAAGGGGGGAATATGATCGATCGTTTAAGTGGCGATACTTAGGGTTTTGTTTGATCGTTTACACTGTATTCTTTCTAAGTAAGTTGTTTCTTAATGCATGTAGTTAGATTCATGTCCTAACTCGTGATCCCAAGTGTTTAAATTGCTCACAAGGTTGTTTAATACGCTAGACCTACCTCAAGA